ATTAAAATTGAAATATTTTTTTATCTTTTAAATTTATACAAATAATTTAAATAAATAAACAAAAAAAACTAATGAACTTTTATTTGAGAATTTTGAAATTAGAAGTTAAGCTCATTAATGAAGTCGATATCTATTTATTAATACATGTATTGTAATTGTTACATTAAAATATTATGTGAAATTTAATAAAATAGGAAAACCAATAAAATAACATGTGGAAAAAAAATTAATTCAAAATAACCATAAAATAACATTTGACAAAATGAATGAGAGTGTGACATGTGATAAAAAATCTTCATTTATTAAAGTAGATATCTATTTTACAATTAAAACGTAACTTTAAAAAGTTTATTTTTGAAGGTTTAAATGGTTATGAAAATCTTTATCTGATTAAAAACTAGTGTGTTAAAAACATTTTGGATTTAACCGAAATATGATAGTGTAATAACCAAATTATATATATATATATATATATATATATATATATATATATATATATATATGCTTAAGTTATTCTATTCAAAGTAATTATTGTGTTATTGTATGCATAAATATGAGCCAATCATTTTACTTATTTTAAGAAAGTGATTAATACATATTATTGAATTAAAAATAATCGAAAAATACCATCTATTTTAACTAGAGGGGTATTTTAGTCAATTAATATAGATTTAAAAAAGGAAATTTTCATATTTTAAGGGATCATAGATTCTATTAATTTTAAAAATCCGATTTTACGAATTATAAGGTTTTTAATTCGGACATTCTGACAGAATATGTTTGAGTATGTTCAAAAAGAAAAATATTCTAGAACCATAAAAATAATAAAAATATTCTTGAACTTATTTCTTGTAGAATAACAAAATCTCGAACCAGCAACTGAAGAATTAAAACAAAAATTATATTAATTCTTATAGAATACATGTAACAATTGCTAAGAATTACATTTATTGTTAAAGAATAAAACTAAAAAACTTTCAAATCGGGAAAAAACATCAGAATCTAACAAATACACTAATTTATTCTAAAAGAATAATGTTGCTAAGAGGCGTCGTTCAAATTTCGGGTCCGTTCTTTAAACATCAGCTTCTGTGGAAACAAATCCAATGAATAAATTAGTGAGAAAATATCCATATTCCATTCCAGCATAATTGGAATTCATGATTCCATTATGATAGAATTGAAATTCATTTACCAATAATTATATTAATTCGGGGCATTCTAACAGAATATGTTCATGATTATCATAAAAAACATTCTTTTTCTGATAGAAATACTATAAACGAATATTATCAAAATTAGTAATTTGGTATTCTCTTTATTAAAAAAAAGATTAATAACACAAACACATAATTCAAAACAAATTGATCTTAATGTTCAATATCTAATACATAATTGATAGAATGATACATCTTCTCAAGTATTTTTTAATATTTTTCAAAGAAATTCAGAAAACTAGAAAATTTGCTTAAAGGTATTTAGACCTACCAACAGTGTCAAGGGCACGAAGAACCAATTCCCAGATGACTGCATAGCCAGCTATTGTATGGAAGATGACAGGATCATCCGGTGATCCGGATCCCTATTAATAATCTCGCGCAACTGAGGACTACTCATTACACTGTTGCGTAGAGCTTCTGGATTCATCTCACTTCAAGTAAAGGGTTATCCGAGTTCAACTCATAACACAACACCACTCACTAAACCAAAAATAAATATTACTATTTTTATTCCCTCTTAACTAAAATTAGCAAAATTCAAATGAGAACTTGATTAGAATGATATGTGAAAGCCAAAGGAAGTTTGTAAAAACTTAAATGATAATTATCGACGCCATAGACTGCATTCTAAGATGTGAAGTACACAGGAAACTTACATTTTTCCCTGACTCCTGAGAAACATTCTGTGGTTCTTCATTAATCTCTGGTCACATAAGAGCTTTTGTAAGGGGCATGTACGTCATAAGCAGAAATTCAAGTGAATAACACAAAAGCTATCATCAGACACAAATATTGTCGCTTATCAATTACTACAAGACTATGAAATACAAATTGATGCTTACATTCATAACCACTGGTAATGATTTAATGGTTAGTATAGTCTAATATGATGATTTAACCACATGAAAACGGTGATTGTGTGTCAGAGAATTGATATATATTTTGAGAATTACTCGTAACATTTTAGTTTTCAGCTATTACCTCATTAAAGAGTCATATGCATCCTCCACTTCTCTACTATAATCTAAAAATTATCTCATCAAAACTAACAATTTAAACACATGTTGCCCTTTCTTTAAGGCTCGTGCACGATCAAAACTAACAATTTAAACATATTTAGCATGCCTCAAAAGTTTAAGAATCCAAATTAGCACATAAACAGCAAAAATTTTGAACCTGGAAGGAAAGGCCTCTTAAGGGACTTGTTATCGTCTTCGCTGCTTTCGTAGGGAGTCCTTCCGTTGCCTGCCGTCGCCATAGGGGGGAAGCTGGAGCTATCGAGGAGATGAATCACGTAAACAGAGAAAGCAAAGCGAATGGTGGGGAGAAATGGAGTGTCAAATTGAGGGGGTTTTGGTCGTCCACTAGAAATGTACCAGGGGGTTTTTTTGTAAAACAATTTTGACCTCAACCAAAACATGATATTCGAAAAAATAATCGGACATACTTGAACATGAGCATTGTAGTTGGCTGGGCTTGTCGAGAGCTCCGTTTCTAGGGTGTGTAATTCGAGAGCAGCTTGAGCTTCGTCGTCCGACTCCGAGTCGGAATCGGAACTTGATGCAGACTGGAATAAAGGGGTAATGGCGGCTGGAGGGACAAGGGCGGGGGTGTCGATTTGTTCAATTTAGGGTTTTCAGAATCTGTTTTTAGATAAAGAGGGGAACGAGATTTAAACTGGAGAGATACCATGATTATAGGGATTATTTTTGGAAGTTATTAAACAAATGACTAAATTACCCTTATTTATTTATTTAATTTTTAAATTTTTTATTTAATTTTGATTGGCACACATTTATGCATACAATAACACAATATTTACTTTAAACACCTGAACCCCTCTCTCTCTCTCTCTCTCTCTCTCTATATATATATATATATATATATATATATATATATATATATATATATATATATATATATATATATATAGTTGTCAAAATCGCAATCCTGATCGTAGAAACATAGATATGAAAAACGAGTTGGACCGTAAACGGATCGTATTTGGGGTAGGATTATAAGATCGGGATCCGATCCGATCCTACCTTCCCAAGTTTTTTTTTTTTTTTTTTTTTTTTTGCAAATGAATTTTTTTTATCATTTTATGTCTTTTATCTTTACCAATTTACAGTTTATCATTTTGTGTTGTGACTTATGACTAGTATTTTGAAGTTTTTATAGCTTTTAAATGAAAAGTTGAATGTTTGATAACCACTTGGGTTGTGGTGACTTGGTAAGACATGTGGAAGATATGGTGGATAACCTATTGACCCATGTTCAAATCCTGGCACTACTCAGCCCTTGTGGCCATGGAGGTTCGCCTGCAGTTACTCCAGGGCATGAGGCAAAGTCTCATGTTTGCAGCGGGGGATTAGTCGGTATGCGAAAGCTGGCCCGGAAACCCTCGTTAGGGAAGTTTCTTTTCCAAAAAAAAGTTGAATGTTTGAAATATTTTTTATGTTTTAAAATTATAAATTAAAATTATGATTTATTTTGTGGGATCTTAAAAACGATCTTACGTTATGCCGATCTGAATAAAACTATGACAATAAATTTATAACAAAAATGAAACTTGGACTAAGCCTATTATTTTTAGCCTATTATTTTTAGTATATCAGTGGACCAAATTCGGAATTTACTATTTAAAATATATGGTATGATAATTTTCTTTTAGTAAGTACTAAATATTGCATTTAACAAGAAAAAGGAACAAGTATGAAGTACAGAAGAAAAGATCTCACGTGGGGGCATTGAAAGCAAAGAGACATAGAAGCCAGGTGGTCACGTGCGCTTCTGCCTTCTTACGACCTTCTCATGAGCTTGCATCTCTTGTACGGTCTTTAATAATTCTATGTTTATTTATTATATGCTTCCAATCCACTATCTATAATCTATACATATACCTGGTGCTATTATTACAGTAATACAATAAATATTTTTATATTATTTAAAATAAATTTTTTCAGAAAAAATATATGGTTTCGTATTAACTTTCTTCTCTCTCTTGTTAAAAAAATTGTTCTCTATGATTAAAATAAATAAAATATAGGATTTATTACATGATATATAGTTAGCAATCAAATAATGACCATATTATATACAAAAATAATGTTATCATCCAAAATTAATACTATCAAATGACTTCTAGCCCAACGGTATCCAGTGTTGCTCTTTCTCCTTGAGGTTGAGGGTTCAAGTGCCGTCATAAACATAGGTGGATTTAAGATTTAGTCTAAATTAGATTACCGTTTCAAAAAAAAAAAAAAATTAATACTAATTATATTATACAATAATTATTTATAAGCAGTAAAAGAAAATCTAAAACTAAATATTATCAAAAGCAAGCATTTATTTCATGATAAATGAAAGTAAAAATCATAAAAGTAGAGGCATCTATCCATTCAATCTATTTTTCACATTAAATAAATAATTTTATTAATAAAATTCAACTACTACAATCATATAAAAAAACATAATAATTACAATAAGAAGATGAATTTCATTTCGTAACCCTAACAAATCATAAAATCCATAACCATTTATCTAAATTTAACATAAATTATAAAATTCATTATATCATAAAAACAGAACAATGCGATTTTGAACCCTAAAAAATTTCGAATTACCAAAAATACTATCATGGCACAACGATGAATTTTGTTAATTTGTTTGTTTCACATATACTGCGTGAATCTCGTCAAACCCTGAAATTATAAAATCACTTGATCGGTAGCTTTGACAATGATGCTATCAAAATTTCAGTCTTACTAATGTCTAGGGATGTTATCATCAGGAGTTGTACTTGTATCCCTTACAGTGGAGACTTGTACCTACATCACTTTATAATGTTATGGATGTAGGGATGAGCATAAAAAGCGGGTACCTGCTTCCGGAATCGGAACCGCCTCGGAACCGCCGGTTCTGGAACCGGAACTGCCTTAAGCGGTTCCGGTTCCGGTTCTGAAAGTTTCGGAACCGCCTAAAGCGGTTCCGGTTCCAATTCTCATTTTTTCAAAACCGCTACCCGATGTATAACCGCCGGTTCCGGTTCCAATACCGGGTACCTAGAATCACCGGTTACCCGGAACCGGTACCGGCGGGTACCCGCCTTTTCTAAATAAAATTATATATTTTTTAATTTATATAATGGTGATTTTGTTTAAAAAAATAATAATAATTTTAGGTCAAAGTGTTTCTAGGGTTTTCATTCTAAAATAAACGCCGACATTGAACTTTCAGTCTTCACTCTCGTTCTACACTTTTACTCTCAGTCTCGTTCCATCGCAACTTCCTGTTCAATCGCCGACCTTACCTGCTCAATCGATGGTTCAATCTTCACTCTCGTTCTACACTTTACAACATCATTGTTTAATTTTTATTTTTGATTTCGAAGATCAATTCAAGGGTTTTAAGTTCAAGTCGATCCAGTCCCTTTTACTGTTTCTATAACACCAACAAGGAAAGGTTAGCCACTGGTATAGTCACAGGGGTAAAACAGGAAATGCAGTTTACGGGTTCAAGGAAATGCACTATATCTTTTTTGAAAACGCTTTGGATACAAAAAAGATAATAGAGCAATGCATAATGATTTTTCAGGTTCCTTATCATCTTCATGAAGCAACAGGGTGGGGACTTGAGGTCTCTGAGCTCAAGAAGCAATTGGAAATTGCTAGACAAAAGGGTATTACGGTTAGAGCCCTTGTTGTCATTAATCCAGGATACCCAGCTGGCTAGCTAAATCTATATTAGTTTTTAAACACTAATAAATGTGTTTTCTCTATGTTATGATAATTAATTTCCGGTTTTTTTTCTTTCTGAATATGTGTAGGTTCTTGCTGAAGAGAACCAAGGAGACATTGTTGAGTTCTACAAGAAAGAAGGCTTGGTTCTTCTAGCAGATGAGGTAAAGAATGTTACAAGAACCCCCCAGACTTTTATCAGTATTTTCTCTTTGTGAATATGAAATAGTATATATAATATGAAGAGAGTAATAACTAGTTAGAGATATTATATAAAGCAAAACTTGTTCAGGGTATTATGGGGAATGTGGGAAAAGAGGTGGTTACATGGAGGTGACTGGTTTTAGTCCCGAAGTTAGGGAACAAATCCAAAAGGTGGCATCAGTGAATCTTTGTTCGAACATTTCTGGTCAAATTCTTGCAAGGCGTGCAAACGCCAGTTAGTTTACTTGTTTGCAATTCTTAATTTCTTGATATATCTTAATTTCTTTTTCATTCACATATTGAAACTACAGACATTGGAAGATGCACTGAAAAACTTAGAGGGTGTTACCTGCAACAAAGCAGTGCAATGTATCTTTTCCCACAAGTTAAGCTGCCAAATAAGGCCATAAAAGTGACAGAGAAAGCTAAAAAAACTTCGAATGTATATTATGTAATTCGTCTTAAGGGTTTTGTAGTTGGCATCATGGTATCAAGGGATTACTGGACACCATTGCTGCTGTTTTGTGTTGTTTTGCTGTTTTGAGACTATTTATGTTTTGTTGTTTTGTAGTTTGTTGCTGACTTGTTAAATTCCAATTGTTGCTGTTTTAAGATCATGTTTTTTTTAATTGTTTTGGTTTATATCTTGAACTCCTATTGCTTATAAAAGTTAATTTCAATGGCATGTATAAAATAAAAAAATTTAATATTCAAAAAACCGGGTACCCGGAACCGGTCTTGGCGGTTCCAGGAGCAATTCCAAATATCTAGAAACAGGTGTAAGCGGTTCCGGTTCCAATATCAATAATTTCAGAACCACCGGTTCCGGGAGCGGTTCCGGTTCCAGCCAAAATAAACGGGTACCCGGTTATGCTCATCCCTATATGGATGCATTATAATTTGGTTTTTGAAGGTTATTTCAATATCTCGAATATTAAAAAGTTGTTATGGCTCTTGCATAATTGGATATCCGTAGGTGTTCAAATGTCGACATTCATATGTGGGTTACACCATCTTTTAAAATTAGTGATTGAGACCTGTAAACTTATTTTTCTTTAACAAAAAAATTATTTATAGAATAGAAGCTAGCTACCGGCTATAATTACATCCGTTTGAAGCATTCTCATGAGGACTTATTACACTGTTCAAACCTCTTAAACAAAAGACCATCTCTACGTCTATATTTTGTTTTTTCGCTATCTACTTGCTAGTGTCTTCTATTTTAATTACCTAAATCAGACTTTTAGTTATCATCATACAACGAATGAGAAGACAAACGGGCAACAAGCCAACATGTAACAATCTTTAACTTTGCCATTGAAAACGTGATCACATCTATATCTCCAAAAAGTCCAGGTGAAAGCATTGAAAACAGATCAAAAAGAGAGTCGCTTGCTGCCATAATCTTAACTTTTCTAATTAACAATTTAACATAAAAAAAGTAATTCCGACCCATTAACTTTTCTAAAATTAACTTGTTTTTATTATGTAAAAATCAAATAATCCATATTCTCCTATTCTTTTAAAAGATTAATAGAATTTAAATTAACAACTATTTGGTCTTTTCCGTTGTTTTTCTTACTCCCCTGCCTTTCTTTCCCTTGTCTTGATAGCCCACATGTCTGCCCAACAAAACCATATCTATTATTGATGATCAGAACAATATCATCGACCTTCCCATAGTTTTTAAAAATAATTCTATACCATTATTTATAGTTTGGTTAATATTAAAATTTAAAAGATTACGAAACTTAACATAGCATGAAATTGCAGTGATTCGCATAAAATTAACCTTAATTGGCAATTAACATGGATTTTGGCTCACAACTAGACTGTATATGCAATATATATATATATATATATATATATATATATATATATATATATATATATATATATATATATATAAATTGTGTTTTATATTGATTCTACGACAACTTATAATTCTCACTAACAATTTCACTTGTCCAAAAGTATTGATTTGATGTTTTTAAGTTACCAAAAATAATAATAATAATAACATAAAGTCGGAGTTCTTTGGATATAGTTCATTCGAAATTTTAATTTTATATTTTTAAAACAATATATTTAAAAGCGGTTCAATTAACATAACCATTTTTTCTTAAATTACCAACTATGAACTACACCGCATCATGAATATCACCAAACCAGATAACACAATTCACTTTTTTTATTCATTTTGTGTGATTCGTTGTTCCCTATTCCACTGTTTTTTTTAACACCTTCATCATGCTTGCCCTTCTTGGTAATCACCCAACAAACACACTGCTCATACTCTCCATATACTGCCTACTATTGTCTCCTCTCATTCCAGATAATCAGTTATAAAATCATAATATATATATATATATATATATATATATATATATATATATATATATATATATATATATATATATATATATACACTACACACACAAGAGGATCTGATCAAAAGGTTTACCGGTGTGGGTAACCACCAACCAGCAGACATGTGAGCTAGCAAGCTATCTATGCTTCTTCAAGTATCAAACAGTATCGTTTGAGTTTGTGGATGGGATTCTGTTTTATTTATATTAAATTTATTTTTGAAAATGAAAAAAATAACTAATTATAACCAATTAAGATTCATAATAATTTATTAAAAGTTCAATAGATTAATTTAAAAAATAACTTCAAGTTACTCAAATTACATTTCTTAAGTGTATTTTTTTTAGAATGATGGAAGGCTGTGTAGTTAATGACATTTTATAATCTATTTTATTTTCTTATAATGAATTATTTCCAACAATGTCATATAATTAAATGCAATCATTAATTTTTGATTAGGAGATATTTAAATAATTGAATAATAATAATGATATATGAAGCTAAAACATGCATAGCTGTGATTTTTTGGATGCAACATATTTATGATCCTGGGCATTGTGCATGTTTGAGCCACGGAATGTGGATGGGTTGGTACTATACATGGATTTATATTGTGGGGTCTAACTTTATTTATTTTGGTGTTTTTGTAGACAGTTTTGAACTTATGCTAGTTGAGTCTAATAATAGAGTAAATATAACTACATTATAATTTCTTTTAGAAAATGTTAGCCAGGTATGCATGTTCATGTGAGATTTTTTGATGTTGACACACTCACATACATCAATTCAGATAATAATTATATATGGTTGAATAATGTGTAATGAAATAATTTTATATATTGGTTTTTTTAATAGTGGAATAAATCTTCCCGTTTTGATTCAAAATAAACAGAAGAATATTGGGCGATAACTTTGGTGGTGATGGATATAGGAATTTTGAATAAAGTATGAACTATTATAAAATAAGTTATGTCAATGCATTAAAATGCTAAATATATATTTTCTTTGAACCATTACCTTACAATTTTAGAAGGTATACATAAATGTCGTTTATGTACCCATTAATCATGCAAGTCCGATATTAACTGATAGGCAAATGCAATTAGGGACATAAAATGAAGTCTGCTAAGCTAAGCGCATAAAGACTGTTGTTTCGTTGTAAGGTTGGTGGGAAAGATACTCATTTCAGGATATTTTTGGTCTGTTATATAAACGGTACATTATTTATTTTCTGTAAATTCCCTCACCCTATTTAACTAATAAGAAATGATCTTACCACACCATCTTCATTTTTTAATTAAATTTGTTAAAATATAATATAATAAAATATAATTATATAAAATTAATAAAAGGAAACTATTTTATTAATTAAAAAAAACCTATAAAAAAACCACATAAATTAAAAATATAGTAAAATAGTACGTCACGCCTAATCATCATCGTTCATAACGTCATCATAATCTTCGCCAGAATCTTCTACAAACATGTCCGATTTGTCTTTTGCATCCTCGAACAAATCGTCGACGACGGGATTTATATGAACATTGAAGACATGTTTCATTAAATTTGTGAAGATTATGGTGTCCAACTTGGTCATATATATTCCCTGATTTTGACATGTATTCCGACATACCAATACATACTCCTTTGAATATGGGTAAATTCTCATTGTCACAGTGACAATTCGTCTTTCTTTCATCTTCTATAATCATATTATGCAATATGATTCATGCGGATATCATGCTACTTATTATTCTTTGTTCGAATGACCGTGTTGGTACTATGAGTATCTGCCAACGCCTTTTTAGAACATAAAGGCTCGCTCGACATCCTTCCAAGCTGATTATTGAGCCAACTTAAACTGTAATCACTTTCATTGTTTGGATGTGAGAATGATTTTACAAACGTAGCTAACCCATGATTTACCTGAGGTTGAATATGATACCTTTTTTTTTTATTTTTTTCGGCTCATGTTTTAAATTTTGTTACAAATTTGGTATGAGCATCAAATTTTATGATGAATTCATCCCAGCTTTTGTTTAATTTATAAATTGAATTTTCAACCTTCTAAAGACTTTTTTTTTAGAAATTTTTACAATTTTTTTAAGATTTGTTTCTTAATTTTTATAGGTTTCTTTAAAACTCTTATACAACATTATTATAACTTTTTAACAAAATTTCACAAATGGTCCTTTTGCTTTTCCGTTTGTCCATGAAATGGTCCATATGAAACTTTTTTTCCATGAGATGGTCCTACGGAGCAAACCTTGCACACAAATGACGCCTATGACTAACTTTGTTAACAAATTCTGTTAAGTGATTGTGAATGCTGAAAAAAACACCATTTGTTTTTTGCACATAAATGGTCCATATGACTCTCTCTCTCTCTCTCTCTCTCTCTCTCTCTCTCTCTCAAATATAAGTATGCTAAGATATGAAATCATCAACAAAGATAAACAATGTTTGACTGAAAAGTCAAAATTGGACTTCGATTTCAACAGAGATGAGAAAGGGCAACCACCCTTAGACCGAGAACATGGTATCGTAAGAGGCTCAGATCTGCAAAACCAAAATCGAAGAAAGGGGATCAAATACACCATTGCTGCAACACCATTTTTGTTGCCTCGCCAAGTTATGTGTTGAGTTTCACCCATCGCCGAAAACTGGTGCTCGGAAAAGTTAATGCAGAGTTATATCATCATCGCCTCACCATTTTTTTGGTGCAAGTGTTGATTGGTACAACATCTGAGAAGATAAAAGCTTGCAATAAAAACAAATACAGAAAAGAAACTTGATGGATTGGAGATGGTCTTTGATGAATAAATAAATAACCATAGTCTTCTCCATCAAAGTGTCAAAGATTTTGAGGTGCTTGATAATTACAATTTTGATTTTCTAGGTTAGAGGTTCTTAAAAGCTTTGATTAACACACAATCAAAGATTGGAGGTTTCTAAAAGCTTTGGTTTTTCATTCACTAAGTGGATTTTGTTCAAAGGTTGATTTCTGAGTTTTTCCCCAACAATTTACAGGTGTATGTATTAATCATTGTATGTGTTGGTGTGTTGAAGAGGATGAACGCAAAGAAGCATTCTGGTGCCTAAGGTTTAAAGATGGGGATGTGGGTTTCTATAGATGTTTTTCCAGGTTCATTTTGTGTTCATGATCATTTTCAACCTCCACCTTTATCGATATCTAGATTTCCGTATTTAATTTTTTCTTCAAAGATTTTCAATTTTTTTCAGC